CGCCGGTGACCACTCTGCTGCCGACTGCCCAGGCATACAAACGGAAGCTGCGACCTGCGCCAACTGCGGCAAAAATCATGCCGCGAACGACAGGAGGTGCAAGGTCTTTCTCCAACTTGCACGCCGGATGAACCAGCGCGTCCAGCCTCCCATCCCTGGTAGAAGATCACAACCCCAGCCCACAAGACCACCCCAACAGGTGAACCCGCCGAGCGTGGACCTACCGGAAGCACAACCGGGACCAACTCTGGCCCCACCAGCCAACCCGCCCACAAGCAGGAACGCTCCTGTTGCAAACAGAAGGAAGAGGAGAAGAGGAAGAAGGAAGCCACAAGCGGCCGCCCAATCAGAAGCTCCTACGGGCCCCTCATCCCTCTACCCTGCCATCCCTCCTACCCAGACGGGTTTTCCCCAAGGGGGAGGCCCCCAGTCCATCACAGCCCCCGCAGCCCCCACAGCCGCATTTCGCCCACTGAGGGCCGCTTCCCAAAGGACGGGACCTCCCCCTCCCCCACCAACGATGGTAACGCAAGTTCCCGTAACGAGACCCAAGGGCCCGCAATCGCAAGCCCAACAAATCACACTTCGACCCCAAGCGGTCCAGCCCCCCAGACCGACTCCCAGACCGGCGTTCCAACCGCCCCCGCCCCCAACACGGCAAAGGGCCTACCCAGAAGTCGCTCCATCCCACCCACCCAGACGACACCAACACCCTCCCCCCCAACACACCCTGCCGCAGCTTCCTATGCTGACAGTGGTATCCATACTCAACCGCGTGATGGAGGACATCGCCAGGGGAATGGATCCCACCTGGATGGGAGCCCTGACCTGGCTGCTCCAGGGGGCAATAAACACAAGATGTTAAGAATACTATACTGGAACCCAGGCGGAATCCGCACCCACGTGAACGAGCTCCGCCTACTCTCAACCCAACAGGACGCGCACATTATTCTCCTGGGCGAGACGCTCCTGTTAAGCAAACATCAACTGAAAATCCCAAATTACACCACCTACCGTAGGGACGAATCAACCCCTGACGGGATTCCCTATAGGGGAACAGCGGCCCTCGTCAGAAGGGACATAATCCACGAGGAACTCCCCTGGCTCCCCTACACGAACCATAGGAGTTCGCACCAAGGCCGGAGACAAGATCTACCAGATATACGCGGCTTACAGGCCGCCGACCACCCAGGTGCATGCGTCGGACCTAGACCAAATTTTCTGTGATGAAGTGCCCACCTTACTAGCCGGAGACATGAATTGCAAGCATAGTTCGTGGGGCTCCGCAAAAACCAACATCGAGGGCCGCAGGCTCTTCAACTTGGCGGAGAGCCGGAATATCGAAGTTGTTGGCCCGCCTGATGCAACCCATGTCCCTGCCGACCCAACGAGGAATCCCGACACCATAGACGTTGCCCTCCACAAAAACATCACCGTGCCTGTCAGTGTGGAAGTAATCTATCCGACAAGCACCCAACACTTGCCGATTCTCATAAGTGTTTGCACAGACCCAAACTTAATAACTCCGGCGCCGCCCAAAAACAAGACGGACTGGGCGGCCTACTCAAAAGAGCTCAGTGCCTATCAGCTTCCCTTTCAACTCACCACCACCGAGGGAATAGAGTCTAACATTTCCCACCTCGTCCAGGCAATAAGGGACGCCAGGGAAAAACATACGGTCCAAGTCCGAACCCAAAGAAGGGACCCCCTACCCCTCTTCATAGCAAGGAAGCTAGCGGAGAAGAGCAGATTGAAAAAGCTCTGGGCCACTTAGCGCTGTCCCCAAATTAAGACGCAGTTGAATAAGATCACCGCCGAGGTCGCGTCCGAGATCCACAAATGGAGGGGAGATACCTGGAACTCGACGATAGAAAGAGCGGCAAGTTCCAGACCAGGGCTACATAGCCTCCTGAGAAACTTAACAAGAGAGGCCAAACCACCTTGCCCCCTGCTTGACGACAAGGGCCAAGCCCGCTATGCCCCACTAGATCGGGCTAACATTTTTGCCAAACACCTCAGGGCCCAATTCACTCCCCACCCAGCCGCCCAAGAAGCCTCCGACCACCACCAAAAGGTCGAGGAAGAGGCAAGAGCCTTCTTGGATTCTGCTCCCCTCCAGCTGCCAGGCGATCACTTCTTCTCCCCGTCGGAGGTGCGCAGAGTGGCCGCCCGACTCAACCCGCGGAAGGCTCCCGGCCCTGACAGCCTACCGACGTCAGCCTTGGCTGAACTGCCTCGCAGAGGCATCGCCGCATGGGCCCGAATCTTCAACGCCTCACTAAGGCTCTACCACTTTCCGAGCGCCTGGAAGTCAGGAAAAGTCATAATGATTCCTAAACCGGGGAAAGACCGAAAGCGCCCTGCCAGCTACCGTCCTATCACGCTTCTAGACCATATCGCGAAGCTATTCGAGCGGCTTATTCTGCGCCGTCTGAAAAACCAATTCAAGCCAAGGGACGAGCAGTTTGGCTTCCGAAGCGGCCACTCCACTGTGTTGCAACTGACGCGCCTCCTGCACCACCTAGCCGAAGCCCAAAACAAGGGGCACTGCTCAGTGGCGGTGTTCCTTGATGTCGAAAAGGCGTTCGACCGAGTCTGGCACCCAGGGCTGATTTTTAAGCTCTCCATTTCCAACGTCCATCCAGCTCTTACAAGAATAATAGCCTCCTACTTACAGGGCCGCACCTTCCACGTGCATGTCGAGGGAGCAGTGTCCTCCAGCTATCCCATTGAGGCAGGGGTCCCGCAGGGCAGCGTCCTCTCGCCCTCCCTGTACAGCATCTTCACGGACGACATTCCATCGATCAACGAGGACCTAAAGGAGTGGGAGAACAGGGTATACCGCGCCCTGTTCGCTGATGACAGCGCCTTTTTCACCTCCGCAGCATGGCCGAAGGCGGCGGCCATGAGAATGCAAAGGCAGCTAGACAAACTCTCCAAATGGATGGCACAATGGAGAGTGTCGGTAAATGTGGGCAAAATCGCCGCCATATGCGTCACCAAAAAACGCCCTCCGCCCAAACTTAAATTAGACGGGCACGAAATAGACTGGGCCAGCTCCACAAAATACCTGGGGGTCATTATAGACAAGAATCTGTCCATGGCCCCCCACGCGGAAGAAGCTATTATAAAGAGCCGCGGCGCCAGAGCAGCGCTCCGCCCCATCCTCTCATCCAATCTGCCCCTGGGAACAAAGGTGAGCCTATATAAAACTTACATTCGGGCGGTATTTACTTACGCCGCGCCGGCTTGGTACTCCCTTTGTTCCCAGATTCAAAAGCAGCGGCTCCAAAAACAACAGAATGTTGCTCTCCGGATAGCCACCAGGGCGGGGCGCTACGTCCGGAATGACGTCATAGCGCGCGACCTCAAGATCAAAACCGTCGAAGAGTTTGTGGGCCGCCTAGCTCGGGCCATGTTTTCCCGGGCCGACCAGGGCCCGTATCTTCACCTCCAGGGCTTAGCCCCCCTACCGATTAATTCTGCTTCATCCCCAGGTTCCGGCCGACACAGAAGGGCTCCACGTCCCACACCGCGCAGCCTGTTCTCGCCGCCACCCCCTTCCAACCCACCCATATATCCCCCATCCTCCCCAACCTAATAAACCCAACAATCACTCCTCACCCTTACTTGCATAAGCCGCTGCCTGCTCGCTGGCGCTAGCTGGGCCTCCCCCCAGGGGGTCTCACCAGGCTTGGCTGACCGCGCTGAGGGCCGCGCCGCAACTCTCCTGGCGAGAACAGGAGGAAGAAGAAGTTCAGTAGCTGGTGACTAACATCGTCACAAGACGACCGCTGTCCAGCGGTACCCAACCCCGCGGGGGCGCACCCCCGTCAGAAGCAGTCCGGGGAAAGAAGGAAAATTCGAACCCGAACCTGTCAACGACAGAAGTCCATGAACGGAAGGGGCATTCGTTATTGAGACGTGAGCCGCGGTAGTGAACGGACGTTAACACAGAACTCTCCGCGCTTCACAAAGCAATCCGTTTGTACCTTGGCAATCATAACTGATTTTGTAAAGTAATAAGAAGATTCAAATTAAACGTTAGCTTGGTCACTAGACTACAGTTTTATTTTCGGGAAATATCATTGAATAACCAAGATGTCGGATCAAAACGAGCCACGTGGCCAACCGCCTATCCAGCTCTCCCCCATCCGACAGAAACTATTTTTTTAAAGCCTCATTCAGCTTTGCCGCCCCGGGCCTCTAACGGGCTTAGTCCGCCACTGACACCGACATTCTAATGTAAATTAAATGAAGATTAAGATTTGTATATATGGATACGGCTGAAGGACTTATAATTCCTGATTCTAGTGCTCACCTTAATATAATATCTCTGTGCCATGTACAGACATAGGGTGCGGCCAGAGTGCACTCAGATTCAGATTCAGATTCCGAAAACAAGCGCGAGAAATAAACAGTGTAGTCTAAGCAGATTGCCTGCTTTTTCTCGCGCTTTGTTTTCTGAGTCTGAATCTGAATCTGAATCAGGAGTGCAGATTGAATCAGATTCTGAATCAGATTCAGATTCAGATTTCGAAAACAAGCGCGAATCTGAATCAGGAGTGCACTCTGGCCGTACCCTTCGACTACACTGTTTATTTCTCGCGCTTGTTTCAGATTCAGATTCAGATTCAGATTTCGAAAACAAGCGCGAGAAATAAACACTGTAATCGAAGGGTACGGCCAGAGTGCACTCCTGATTCAGATTCAGATTCAGACTCAGAAAACAAAGCGCGAGAAAAAGCAGGCAACCTGCTTAGACTACACTGTTTATTTCTCGCGCTTGTTTTCGAAATCTGAATCTGATTCTGAATCTGAGTGCACTCTGGCCGCACCCATACAGTGTAGTTTAAGCAGGTTGTCTGCGGCCACTATGGGCACCCTGCTTTAACTACACTGTTTATTTCTCGCGCTTGTTTTCGGAGTCTGAATCTGAGTGCACTCTGGCCGTACCGTACGACCTCATTTTAAAGAAAAGGGCCATTGACATATGGAAAATGCATTGGAATTACACTATACAAAGTGAAAATAAAGGTTTGTGGTATGCTGTATACAATATCCCTATTGGAACTTCGCCATGGTTCTGTAAAAGTCCCAGCTACATCAATAGAAAATTTTATACCACTATTCTTAGGCTCCGCTTTGGACACTATTGTTTAAATTTTCATCTCTTTCGTTTTAAAATGGTGCAGAGTTCACATTGTAATTATTGTGACTCTGCATCAGAACAGTCTTTGTCTCATGTGTTCTTTGATTGCTCATCCTTTGGCATTCAGCGCCTTGTCTTGATGGATGAGCTTATCGAAATATATGGCCAATCAGAGATGTTTCCGCACTCAATTCAGGATCTTCTTTTAAATAGCTGTACATGTTTATCTTTATTTACATTTATTATTAGCACTGTAGGGAAAATTGTAGGTTATATCATATGTTACTCATTATATTGTTTTGTCTTTGTAAATATTTATTGAAGTGTTCAAATATTTTGCTACAGTCTTTATAACTTTGAAATGTTTTTCTTATCTGGGTATTGTTGTCTTCTGTCATTATGACGGTCTTTTAGTTGCGTTCTTTAAAAATATATATATATATTCTTCAATATAAAATAAACACACTAAGGACGAGGCTGTATGGGCTTTAGTTCTCCTTGCCTTTTCTAAAAAGGGAGAATATTTAAAAAAAAAAACTAGTTCTTCACTCGCATTTTGTTGTGATGTTTTCTAATTAATTTGTAAAATCTACAGTTTTCTGTTCGATATCAGAAGAAAGAGGTTTGTACAACATGTTCCTAGCTCACGCCCTTTTTGTCTAAAAGCGATACAGCACTTACCAATAAATATAATTTACATTCGTAGTTCAGCGTCACCACGCCCTGTTTAGTTTGGACGCTTTTTGAAATATAGGCACGGCCGTTGGCTTGTTTTGATACAATTTTTTTTTTCGACAGGTCAAATAAACCGAGAATGTCGGACAATGAATCTTACACTTACTTTGCAGGGAATGACACGTACAAACCCTTTAACCCATTGGTGTCCCACATTGGTGATTTCTCACCATTCTACATAGCAATCGCTATTTGCACTGTTATTCTGGGACTGCTGTTGATTTTGAACGTCGTGTGTTGCTGTTCAAAGTACTCTGATTACTGGCTTGACAGGCATACAGGTGAGTTTACTAATAAACTCAATTGCTGCATACTTATTGTCATTTCAAGAACTCTTCTATCACCAATTTCATTGGAGAAAATTCTTCAGAGCGACGTCTTTCTTTATTTTCAGACACACTGTACTCTATACAATATAATATGTATATTATTATTATTTTTTTTTTATTTAAAATGTGTTAGACTTATTTCATCTTCATGTATAGTCCTTTTATGATATAAGAAATTAAGGTTTCTGCCAGTGATATTGTTGATAACTAATGGCTACACTCCAAAATGTTAACAAATTATATTAATACTGCATTATTTCATTGATACTAAAATATGACAGTAAATGTGTAAAAAATTTCAAATGGTTATTATTTTTAAATGGCTTGACAATAATAAAATTTTACTATCAATGAAAAACAGCAGCCTAAGTAACATCACAAGGGTTAAAGTTAATTAACTTTATTTATAGCCGTGCCGACAGGAAAATGAAATGTCTTCAATATTTACTATAAATATAAGTATTGAATATGCTACTTTTGGTCAATCACACTTTCGATATTCTATCTACTTTTAACATTTTTTTTTGTTTGTTTACTGATTCACATTACAGAGGCTGTAGGCCACTGATGTGAAGATAGTAATGTATATTTTTATTAAACCAAATAATTTATAAACCATGAAGTCATTAAGCTTCCACACTCCTTTGTACAGATAAGTAACATAAATCTAACTACTTATTGTGTAAACATATTTTGTAAGTTCTAACATGAACATGATTAATAAATAATGATAAAATATGACCTACTTACGCAGTTAGAAAGAAGGCTTCTATTAGTTATTCTAAATAAAGTTAATTTTAATCAGATATTTTCACTGTCACAGGTAATCGCTGGATTGTCTCCATCTGGTCCACAACTCCACATAAGCAACCGCCACTAGACTTTACAGAGCTAGAGGGACAAAATCACTTTGTGCATCAATACCACAGTGAAGAGTACAGAGAAGTTGTCAAAGGAGAATCAGACTTTCCACCTTCCATCTCACGTCAACCGCTCCATTCCTCTCAAGAATACCTGGAATTGCATAAAAGGGAAAGTGACATATAATAATATGGCTTTCTTAATGATGTACCCTGCTATAGCTGTACTTGCACTCTTTGTTCTGTTAGTAATTATTTTCATATTACGATTTGGAGCACGCTGGTGCAATCTTCGCCATCATACTTTAGCAGAAAAAGATGACTGGAATGAAGAAATGGCTTATGAGCACAAGGTGTCTTATGCTTAGAGTAAGCAAATTATCTCTCCAAGTAACTGGTATGCAGCTCCATTATTGAACAGATGTAATCATAAGGAAAGCTATTAATTTAAACATTTATTACAGTAAAAGTATTCTTCATCAGAAACAAACTAACACAAAGAGTAATGGTAACCTTTTAGTAATTAATAATAAGCAATTTCAAAATAAACAGACCAGAATATATTTCAAGTAGCAAATCTATTTATGGTCCTAGATGCCATACAAAGAATCTTACCAATGGAAATTTTTGTTTGATTAACCAAAGGTATTCAGTTTCTATCCAATTTTTGTTTGATTAACCAACCTAGGACTACCACTACCAAACTCGATACAAATAAGACTAATCAAAATATTATATACTTACCACATAATCTAATTAGATTATTATACAAATATAATTTTTGTTTACATTTTTTACAAATTTTATAAGTATTTTTTGTGTAATATTCACATAAAAATGTATTTTAATTGTAGTTTTTTCTATGTAGAATAGTAATTAATCAATGTAATGTAGGTGCGTACTGATTAGAGGCAGCCGGGCCTTATGCAGCATGACTCTTGTGGGGGCTGCCTTGTTAAATAGTTAAAACAACACTAGGCAGCAGCCTGGGGTAACATGCCTCGGATCAAGCCACAAAGCTGCTACATCAAAATGGTTAAAACTCAAATCACATCCAAACATGCGCGGCAGGTACGCCTCAGGCGAGGCTCTAATCTGTACAAACGTACGTAAAATAACGACGTTAGTAAATGTATTTTATTTATTTATAAATTTCTAAATTATACATCAATTACATTGCATATAAATGGTTCATCTGGCAATTTATAAATTTAATATCACAATATGTTTCATATAATATGTCATCTTTTTGCGTTTTGTAAAAAATTTACGTATTACGAACTCTAAAAAAACGTGCAATATCGCTACTTGTTTTTTTCACTTTTCCTTTAAAAACTCGTACCACTTCGTTTTAACCACTTGAAAAACAAAGTAACACCTGATAATATTTGTTTGAAATACAAAATTGTTACAGTTTATAAAAAAATGAATTTCTTTTGATTTTAAATGTTGACTTGATGTTTATGTGCCTTGATTCAAATACATAGCTTAGTAAAAATAATATGTAAATGTAATCCTTTGCATTGGCATCTACTATTTATGCCAAGTTGATGGGACATAAAATGGAGTTATTATTACTATTAAGAAATCAACTTTTTGAGCCATCCGTCCATATGTAGATTAATATTTTAGATATAAGTTAATAAGCTTTTGAGAAGACCTATCGTGTATTTCATAAGACTTAGTAGTATATTAAATAAGAATATTCTAATTTAGTACAAGATGTTATAGGGGCCTTATAGAAAACACATAAATTTTTATGAAGTTATTGTTGTTAATGGAACAAACTTGATCAACTCGAAGCCCTTAAACAATTTTTACCACGATACAGAAAGTTTTACGCTCAATAAGGCGATTACTAGAACCATAACAGCTCAACTCATACAAGGCAAGATTTTCAGTTGCATTAATTTAACTATAGTGCTTATGGTTATTAGTTGTTCAGTGAAATAGGTACTTGCCTTGATAGGCAAACTTACATTACTAAATAAATCTACTTGTTATTGCGTTGTACGAATGAAGGTACATAGAGCCTGATAAAGTTAAATTAGGGTCTCTTTGTAATAAGCACAACAGAAATTATTGTAATATTTTTACTGCATTTTTTTAATTAATTTTTTATCGTCTAGTGACATTATTCTATTATCTACAATGAAGCTTAGTTATAATAATAATTAAATGTATTTAATGATGTAGTAAGTGAATCAGAAGGGTATGTTTCACGTTAAGAAATCAAATCATGTGCAAAAAAAATAATTATTTAGTTAATGACAATATTCAGATTCCAATAACCGTACCCTTAGTTAGCTTTCATCGATGTTTCTTTCACTGTTTTTCCTGTAATGCACAGCTAATAACGTTGTTCCTTCCAAAAACGAGATGTCTTAAGGTAAGTTATGTTTTTATTACTTTCCTGCACTTTTCATGTTCTGTCAAACCTGATAGTGACCCACTGCATAATAATAAAAGCAAGTAATACACTCAAAAGATTCAAACAATGTTTTAAACATATCATATTATAATCATAGGGAATGGATTTTACCCTTGCATCAAGTTCTTGTCCAATTTTAAAATCCATAAAGATTTTATCATAATTTGTACGATAATATTTCTTAACGTCAATCCACTATTATTTTCCGTCCAATAAAGCATTTAAATATTTTAGATATTAACCTGAGTATTTTTATTTTCTGTATCCCATAGTTATATTTTCTGATGTGAAAATTATGCTTAACAAGAATGATGAACCACTTGATGTTAATGCCTTAGCTTATAGGTGGTAATAGTACAGTCAATCTGTAGGTTGAGTGCACGGACCTGTGAGTGGTGAAAAAAAAACCTAAAGGGTAAGTCTTGTTTTTTCTGTTGCCAAATGACGTCAGTAAGCCACCTTGGCGATGGGCATGTTCAACTCGTAGGAGTTTTATGAAAAACTCAAAAAACCCTCAAAAATTTTTTGAAACGCATTTTTCTTGTTTTTTATGCATTTTAGAAACTTTTTTTTCGACTATAATTGTAGAGGGCATTGAGTACTACAATTTATGTCGTGGTTGCAATCTACAATAAAAAATGCGCATTGTAGGTGCTATAGTCTCAAAAAAAGTGTTTTTCACCCTGAAAATATCATTTTAATGGAAAACTTTAAATGGAAAAGTTGTTCCGTACATAATTACCAACAACTTTTGTATAAACAATTTTTTTGTATTACTTATCGTTTTCAAGTTATAAATTGCGCAGGTATGAAAAATCCAATAGAGCGGTTTTGGGCAGTTCAAGTACACATTTGCAGTGCACATTTCAATGTACGTTCTACTATTTTTTATTTTTTGTCATGATTGAAAAAAAAATATAAAAAAAATAGTATAAACGTATATTGAAATGTGAAAAAAATTGTTTATACAAAAGTTGTTGGTAATTATGTATGGAACAACTTTTCCATTTAAAGTTTTACATTAAAATGATATTTTCAGGATGAAAAAGTGAAAAAACACTTTTTTGAGACTAGCGCCACCTACAATGCGCATTTTTTGTTGTACGAGATTGCAACCATGACATAAATTGTAGTACTCAACTCCCTGTACAATTATGGTCGAAAAAAAAGTTTCTAAAATGCATAGAAAACAAGAAAAATGCGTTTCAAAAATTTTTGAGGGTTTTTTGAGTTTTTAAAAAAACGCCTACGAGTTGAACATGCCCATCGCCAAGGTGGCTTACTGACGTCATTTGGCAACAGAAAAAACAACACTTACCCTTTAGGTTTTTTTTTCACTGAAACGATATTTTTTTCGACAGATTGACTGTACTATAAATAATATTTATTTCTCATTAAAAACCATACAGTTTTTTACATGAGATATAAGAATAAACAATTAATTGTGGGGTCTAATGTTATAGGACAAATAAATTGTCACTCGTTGCCTACGGTAGAAACAACTAGCCGACAGAAACATAATAATATGTACCACTAAAAGTAACTACTTATTTCACTGTGATCCTCGCCCTCGCGTTATTTCCCTAGACGAGCTCTCTAATTTGAGCTACTTGGTCACGCTATGTAATTATTTAGAACTAGCGGCCGACCGCGACTTCGTACGCGTGGAGTTAGTTATTTGCACATACTTTTTGACCCCAAAAGGGGGCTTATTTCTAAAGAACACCTCTACACCATTTATAGAGCATACATGTTAAATTTCAAGTCTCTTTCTTCAAAAACAGAACTTTCATACAAACTTCCAAACCCCGTATTACCCCCTTAGGGGTGGAGTTTCGTGAAATTCGTTCTTAGCAGATATCTAAACCCTATAAGGAACCTACCTGGCAAATTTAAGTTTGTAGATGTTATTTTCTGAGATTTCGTGATTAACCAGTGAGTGGTATTTCGCTGAGACGTCGTCTGCGTGAATGCTATACAGCACCAAAAATACATACGATTATACCTTTTAAAATAACATTCATTTACCCGTTTCTTCTTTTAATTTCATATCTACAGAAAGTGCAGTAACAGAGGTAGACGGTCGTTTGTAAAATTGACCTTTTAAAAGTGCTGATTTTCAGCCTGCTTGAATAAATGACTGGTGATTCTGCTGAATTAAGTCGTAAGTTGTGACTAAAGCAGATGGAGAAAATAATGAATAAGAAATACAGAATAGGGTAAAAATACATACTTATAGGACTTCTCGATAAACAACATTAGTGGTCTGGCTCTCTACAGCCAAAATGTAAAGAGAGTCAGGACTGGTGACGCGGGAGCAACCGAAGTAGGTACAGCTGCACGTGTGAGATGCAGCTAGTCCTGAGGTCGACACCCGCTGCCCTCGTGTCTGGCAGGGCCTTATTGATGGTCATCGCGAAACAAACACTCACGGGGAACTGTACGCGCTTGAACTGGAACGGGAAGTTATGAGGTATGAGTGGAATGCGTGGTATAAATACTGCCACGCCGACGCCACAACCGTAAGAATTTCCGCCTCAATGGTGTCTGACTGATCTGAGATGACTTTAAGGCGGGTCCCGTTTCACAACTTCGGAGGAGATAGGTTCCGAAGAAGCATAATCGGGACACCAACCTTCAGCTTGATGGTATGCGCTGGAAGTCCACTTGCTGACAGGGAGTTCAGAAATTCCACGGTATAATGTGTGGCGTCGTCTTGCTCGACGACAGTGTTTATAGAGGTGACCACTTCATTGGAAATACAGAATCAATTTCCGAGAGAATTCATTCATTAATTGCTGCACCCTGATCATTTTTGGGCGTTAAAATGGCCCGCTCACAAACCCAAGAATTCTGCTGGTGCGGTATACGACTGATGTCCCCGTACACGGAGAGAATGAGTTCTTCTAAGCTGGATACAACTCTACTGAGAGACTCTGGAAGCACCACCTATCCACCTCTCTCCTCTGGTAGAGTGCCTTCGCCAAGATTTAGAAGGACATCGAAGAATTCTTGAGCACGTGCATTGCCGCCGAGCCGAGCTCTCATATTAATGGTCAAGCGCAGCGTACGAACTCGTGACCACAACGAAGATCATTTCAACGAAGCATTCACCTCGTCAGCCCTCGAGCCCCGCGTCATCACAGGAAGCGTTTATCGGATGAGGAAATCGCCACTAAACAGAACTGTGACATCACCCATCAAATGTTCGTTCCTGCGGATGTCCTGCAGGGTTCTGTCCACGGCCTCATCTGCCTTTCTATTGGCCATCGTACACTCATACCATACGATCAGAGAGCAATCCTTGAGCACGTGTCCCTTATCACTGTTACGTGACACACAACAAACAGGCGTTTATACGCTCTCTAAATAAATGGTAATTTAAAACATGGCATGTGCTGTCTTGCCAACCGGAAGCATTGTGGCAGCGATTTCCGACGACGCTATAGCAATGGCAATTTTGCCTTGCCTCCTGACCTCTGCAAGTATGCCACTGGTAACAAATGTTTTTCCTGTTCCACCAATATTGCTTTGGGTGCCCGAATTCGAGTAATGTCTTTCATACACCCGAATACAGGCTAACGACCACGTGTAATTGAGCTATTAGTCGGTTACCCGAATTCCATTGGCAATCGTATACGGGCCAACGACCAAGTGTAATTAATTAGCCGATTTCCTATAGGGCGAACGCCCCAAAGAGTTGGATTGGGGTTATTGTAGGTAGACGATGCGTAAGGGCGTTTGTTAACGACCGGTTTTCCGCCAGGTTAAGGAACTGTTCAAGACCACGCCTAGACCCGGATAGGGGGCGTTTGGTTAGCAAGCGCCCTTTTTACACAGTGCATGTGATGTAATGTTAGAATGAGTTTACATTCTTATTCATTACATCACATGCACTTAATCCGTGGAGTATGATTGAGAATTGTTCATAATTCTCATATTTATGTACAAAGCCTTTCATTTGTAAAGGGGCTACATTCCGGCCAACCATCGCAGCCATTGACCTGTTTTCCAGACTTAAAATTGTAGGATTTTAGGACAGTCCAATGCAAGCTTTTTGTTTCAGACGTGCGAGTACTGATTCACCTTTCTGAGAAGGATACGTGGTTCTCAACAATATCGTTAGCTTCCTTCAACAATTTCAGACAGTATTGACGCCATCTTTCGAGTACTAGATCTTTAACAAGTAGTGGTATTAGTGTCGCCGCACACGGACCACACGCCACAGCCACAAACGCCGCCACGAGAAGCTAGAAGCGGCTACTAAAGTGGCTGAAGCGCGCGACAGTGGCCGACTAAGATAAGGAAGAGAGGGGTGGGGAATCGCGCGAGTGACGTGTGTAGGCGTTTTGTATCGGCGCATTTAAACTATATATAGGTACCTATTAAAACAAAGAGTTAACGGTTTTTTGTTTGATTATATCGCACATTGATAAGAAGAGTGACACTTACCAAAAAAGCTATTTTTTCATTAGAGGCATTTAAAGTTTTACCAAACAGTAATTACGACTTTTGCACCAGAAAGTATAAAAAATCGATATCATGTTATGATTTCTTTTGCAGAGAGCATTAAACACGACTGCAAAAGTAGTAATTACTGTTTGGTAAAACTTTAAATGCCTCTAATGAAAAAATAGCTTTTTTGGTAAGTGTCACTCTTCTTATCAATGTGCGATATAATCAAACAAAAAAAACGTTACCTCTTTATTTTAATAGGTACCTATAAATAGTTTAAATAAATTTGTTTGTGTTGTAGTTGACAAACTTGGCAACTTTGTCATTAAAAATTAAATCGCAGAAAACATAAGCAAAACATCGACTTCAAAAACTTACTAAGAGATTACGCCTATGGAAAAGCTAGAATATTTTTCTATATTTCATTTTCATTATAATATCCATGGCCTCGTATGAGTTTGAAAAAGTTACCACTGGAGAAAGTAACATCTGAGAAGAGAACTTCTTTGATGTAAAGACGTGTTACATAAAAATTCTGTTACTCCATCCAGCTATTTCTTACTTCAGCTTCATTCCACCTCGGCGGAAGAGTATATTGATCATTAAAAAATAGAAAGTCCACGTCGCTTCTGTAAAACACATATAATGGCCAACTTCAGTCGCCTCCAGTTTTAAATAAAACAAACTTTTATAAAAACACATGTTTATTATATTATGAGTCCACTCCATAACCATTTCTTATATTATAATTAAATCAATTAGACCACTCCATAAATAATTAATAGAACTTACGCGTAATAGCATAATAAATGATGTGTGTACTATGTACAGGAAAAAAATATTTATAATATGTATATATAATAAAACACACAAAATCAAACATACAAGTTATACATACTTGTGATATGACGCTGTCATTGTCAAAAGTACATTTATTGCAGTTCTAAACGAATGTCAATGTAAGTATTATACTTGTACTCTTATGGTATTGCTCATCATAACGCGTCAGACGTCTTTCGACTATTGTACATTTCATTTGTAATAATGACGTTAATTTGAACTTGACCACTTAACACTAAAATATTTTTAATCTCATTACAATGAATTAAATATAAGTAAATGTTATAAATGTCGCACTTAACTCACTAGTTACTTACTTGTACTACCTAGACCTTATGCGTATATATGCAGGTATAGTCCAGTCATTATATACATTTGGAAATGCAAATGAACCGAGAAAGCCAAATTTTGGATATTACGTGGGGGGTGGCTAGAAAAGCTTAAGTTCAAATTGTCGACCAAAAAAACCTTGTGGGTTTTCCGCCATCTTGAAAAAAGGGTTAAACTCAGTTTTTTTATCATAACTCGGTTCCCCGTCGAGATACGAAAATTTTTATAGAATACTTTTTTGTTGCTCTTTGTACGATCTACAATTAAGGTCCTATACATTTTTCGCATATCGACCATCGTTATCGAGATATCGATAAAAAAAGCCACAAATTTTGGGAGAAATTTTTTTTTTCGCTATTTCCTTCTTTCTCGCGAAAAATATCGAAAAATGTTTCGAATAAAACTTGTAGAGCCTGTTCAGACCTACAAATTCGTTTTTTAATTTTTCTTTTTCGAGAAAAATTACGACCTCCAGCGCGCCGCAAAGTGAGTAAGACTGTGCCCGGTTTCGATTTAGCCGCTCGCACGGTTGTATCCACAACGTAAAAATTGATGAATTATTGGTTAAGGGATTTATTGCTATACAAAATAAATGAATAATCCAGCCAAATTATAAATCAAACACATGAAATTTATTAATCAAAAAGTGTTTATGCAGCAAAAATAATAATCTTACACGTGGTCATTTTTGTCACACGTTTTTCTTCGTTTTGATGGTCCTGGCTGCTGTTGAAGTTCCTCCTCGGTACACTCTTCGAGTCGGGTAAATTCTTCAATCGCAGGAAATGATGCTGTGACGGTCGAAAAATCGTAATCTTCATCATCGTGATCGTCATTGAGTAATATCTCGACTTTGGCGACATTGTCGCATGTCTGTCCACTACAGAATTACGAACGACGAACGAATTTTCGAAATGAAATAGAAACAGAGTAAGGAACGTGCGATATTTCGATCGAAATTTCGTTTTTCGTTGAAATAGAGTAGGCCTCCTGACCCATGCCGACACTCCAACCGTCGCACGTCCGCCATGGCGCGACGCACATTCCGGCGTCGGGCGCATTTTGTGGCTTTTTTTATCAATATCTCGACAACGATGGTCGATACGTGAAAAATGTATAGGACCTTAATTGTAGATCGTACAAAGAGTAACAAAAAAGTATTCTATAAAAATTTTCGTATTTCGACGGGGAACCGAGTTATGATAAAAAAACTGAGTTTAACCCTTTTTTTCAAGATGGCGGAAAACCCACAAGGTTTTTTTGGTCGACAATTTGAACTTAAGCTTTTCTAGCCACCCCCCACGTAATATCCAAAATTTGGCTTTCTCGGTTCATTTGCATTTCTAACCCGATTTTTCCGACGTAATGACTGGACTAGTAGTTAAATCTTGCCGTTAGATTGGTTTGCGTTGTTCGGAGTAGTGAATCTTAAAATCGTAGTGTTTGCACAACGATACAATACGTTCACGTAAAGAAATAGTAGTTTTTGGTTTTATAGATTTTTTATTAATATAAAATTAGAAAGCTGTGATATAAAATTTCGAGCATTATTGACAGTATAGACAGCGCACTAGGCAAAGTAACTATTACTGAGCTTTATTAAAATGTGTAAGCAGATTTTTTTTTAGTTACTCACTATTCAAATATGCATTTTTTTTGTGACTATGTTGAATTATACTTTAAACGTCTCAAAAAGTACTCTTGAATTGCATAAAAAGTAGGTACGCTAAGCCTGGAACGATACAGTTCTTGTGGATAGAAGTAAATCAGTTCAGTTAGATGGTGAAAGTTCCTTGAATCGGTCACATTAAAAGTGTGATTGACATGACAATTCATTTTAGAGGGTATAACTTAGTACACTTCGCAATCACTAATGTTGTTATTATCTGCGAGATAATTGTAAAATATAAACGTCTGTTACTGAAAGACTTTACAAACTCCTAAAATCATTAATCGACGTATTGTCAAAACATGTGATCGGATTCACGATAAATTTTATACAATACATGCTTCATTTAAATATGTAAAATTGAATCAATATCATTTTTTTTAAAAAGCTTCAAGCAAACAAGCTACACAGTTCAGATCAAAGCAACTGATTTGAACTTCAATACCGCGATGACTGCATAAACCATAAGACAATGGCGTTTGGCGGTTCAACACCAGAAGGCATCTTATGTACCACAGCCACATTCGTTAGGCGTTTAAAATTTATATTACACGATTTATTCTGATACAGTTTAGGCATAATATAGCGCAAAAGGTATTTAACGAAAGTAGATCATTTAATTTTTTTTTCCATCAAACTTTCAGCCTGACAGCATTCGGATTGCTAGTCAGCTGCAAACGTGCTGATATCAAATTGACGCCAAAATCAGTTTAAAATATTGATACATAATTATTTACTCTTGAAAGTCTAAGCGTGAGTTGCACCATCGTTCTTTAACTTTAACAAAATGAGATCATAATTTGACAGTGACAATAACTGTCCTAGCGAGGCAAATTAAAAAAAATATAGCAATATTTAATTTTAACTGGTTCCATAGTGTAACTCAAACTAAAGGTTTACGCGACTATTGACGCTTCTTTGCTCTGGGCAGGCACTTTGTGCTGAATGCATACGTACAGTCCGTTCATCATAACTTGGTCCATGTGGTAAAGAATCTTGGCACTCCTTTTTATTGAAAATGCAGCATTAAAAATCACATGATAACTTGATTCAATAGGTTTCAGTATATAATAACGATTTATTGGAATACATTATTGACTTTGTTATTATTTTATTTTTAAATGGGGTAATTTTGTTAAAAAGTTGTGCCAAGATTGTTCACCCAAAAGGACAAGTTAGAATGAACAGACTGTAAGCGTTCTTACCAAGTACCAAAGTCAACGCAGCTCTGTCCGGAGTTCGCATCATCGTTAGTACACAAATCGAAACACATACCACACAACGGAGTGAGATGCGTTGTAACGTCATAACGAGATATCATGACATTGTGACACAGCAATAAGACCTATATTCATTGTGCGAATATGAATAGCGATGTCTTCAACTTATAAAGGGGAGCTAGTATCAATATAAATCCTAGAGTGATATTTTGAATGTTTTTCTTTGCTGAAGTCCCATGTTACATATTTATAGATGATGATGATGAAAGAAGTATCTGAAGCTGTGACATTGCATAGCGATACGTACAATTATGGAACTAATACAGGTTCATCTTAATATATACCTAATGTATTTTATAGCAACTTTTCTAGATCACTGTCATCAAAAATTCTGTACAAAAATTACCTCAGTACTAAACTCCGAATAGAAAACATTAAAACCAATATTGATTTGAAAGTAAACTAAAATCTACAGAGAAAAAAAATACAATTGTGGGCACATCAATACATGTATTAAATAAGAAAGTGGTATTTCTGAAAAACTAATAACCATTCTTGACATAGACTCAAGTATATAATTATAATCTTATCAACTTGTCTAAATTTACCAAAACTTGACACTATCCTAGTCAATCTGAAAGGCGAACATTCGCTTAAAAGATTTCTAAATATCACGCTTAACTGCACTACTACGGGTAAACTAATTAGACATTATTCGACGAGAAGTTTATAATAATATATACGTCTCTAATGAGGTAATTCAATTGCTATAAATTTTAATCTGGAAGATTGTATACATAACAATTTCAATCGCCGCGTCGATAGCATACATACACAAACAACAAGCTTTACGATTTGGAGATAACTTGAGCTTACACCTCTTATTTAGTTTTATAAACAAGCCAATACAAAATCATTTCTCCCTATAAAATTTTATCTAAAGTCTCAATTTATGGCTATTTGCACAAAAAATCATTAAAATCAAACTTAAATTCAATCTAGTTTACGACATCACACTATCCTTGTCAATTTTTGAAGTCAAAGAGATGTAGAATGAGGCTATAACATGATTTCATTTTAGATATAAGTTGAGAACTTTAGTGAAAGTTAATGTAAATAGCGCCAGTTAACTAGTAAGTGATTTTTGACAATCTGTATTGAAAAGTACTAATTCAAAAAGTCGGTCATAAAATATCAATGGTTGATGATAAAATTATATAATTAATAAGTAATAATATAATATAAGTAAAATAAGTAATAATATAATATAAGTAAAATAAGTAATAATAATAAGTATATAATTTCCGAGCATCATTGCTTTCAATTGCAATGGTTTAGGGATGACAACGGACTTTATAATTTATGAACATACTGAGAAGGCTTGATGTTAAAAATAATAAGTTTGAGCATTTGGCTTGAAGGATAAACCACCACACACAATACTCTTTTTTAATAATTGTAATGTCCCTCATTTCTGTTTTGTGTTGTGGTGTTATCAATAAAGTATTGTGTATTGTATTGCATTTTATTAAAAAATCACGGCATACAGTCCTGTGGTACAATATTATGACGGAATAATCGCACACCTACTTAAAACGTTTATCCATTAGGTGCTTTGTTTAATATCTACATTACAATTCCGAATTAATTATGTGAACCTTATCTGCATCATATGACGTACTCGTTTATTGTTTAAAGATGTAATCCCGTACAAAAGAAAGAAGAAAACAAGATGCGTACACTTTTGATTCCACATTGGACTCTGTCGGCCTTACTATAAAACATAGACTAAAGTAAAACCTGGATTAAAACTGATGCTGTCACTTTTGCTCGCTAAAAAGAAGACAAACACAATATGAGGTTTAAAGCAAGACTAACTTTAGTCCGCGTTTTGAAGAAACGGGGTGTATGTTTTAGTAGTACATACATCTATTGCAATTACCCCGGGTGATTAATAGACATTCATTTATTTGTGCTAGATAATTGACGACATACTTCATATCTCCAAAGTGCCTACTTATTAACCAGCGAGTATTACGCAAGATCATTTACCATCTACGTTAGATATTTTTGGTAGTATTAAAAGACAGTAAAACACATTACCGACAAATATTTGAAAAATCCAATTGAACATTTTTACTACTTATGGCTCCTGCTTTCTTTATTTTAATATGAACTAGAAATCCTGTCCTAGCAGTAGCGAAAATTATATGGTGATTATGTTTGTAAACTTAACAAGAACGACGCGAACTTTTTAATCAAGTCAACAAAATTATAAATTGCTTTCATTTTAAGTACATTATATTGTTGAAGTTAACAAAACTTGGTCTCGGTGATCTGAGTTACGCTTAACTACTCGATTCCCACCAATTTTCGGCAAGTTTAATTTATGTGATTGTTTTTGTGTTTTTATGTCAAGTTTTATAAAAAGTCATCGGAAAATATATGTGAAAGTTAAGGTTCCATGGGAAAGAAAATAACTGCAGTCAGATAACCTACTTTTTGAAGTCGGTTAAACCTAAGAATATAAACTTTCCTTAGAAGAGAAACTTGGCAAGAGCAATAGATGCGAATAACATATAAACAAACGAGCCCAACGTATCTACACTACAATATCTTAACAACAAGGCAGTATATTATTGCAAGGAGTCCATCATCATCATCTGCTCATCTTCAGATCGTAAAACAATGACCAATCATGTCGAAACAAGCATTCGGTGCGCACAACACACTCAACACGAACAAACAGCCTAACGTTTAAACGTTCACTCGACAGCAACATCCACTCAATGGCAAATAAATCATCAAAACTACCAACACGACTCTCAACTTAATTTCAAATCGTATAAAGCCGAAAATAAGTTTCACAGAGTAACCCCATGATTTCTAAAAATCGGAAGTGCTGTCGAGTGTACGAAAAATAATATATATATATATATATATATATATAAATATATATCAGTGGCGACGCCTCCTTAGAACACGATTCCTGCCTGCTTACCTAGCCAGATTCTAATATACTAATTTACATTCAAGCACAAGCGACCATTTACGTATAAAAACGTTAATGCAAGCGATATAATTACATTGCGCGCTTTGTAAAAATATTCAATATGGTGGATACAAAATACACAAAGTATTTGAAATTGCGCAAACGCACACTCAGGTCCGCGCCGCGGTAGTAGACTGGATAACCCACTAATAATATTGGGAATTCAAATAAATAAAATGTAAGCACTTCACGCACACATTACTACCACATGCAACCACTCATCGATATAACCCGAACTTAGATAGCCTGTAATATTTATTTGTCATGTGTGAAGGTTACGTTTTGCTTGAAAGATTTTACTAGCCAAGTGTTGTGTATAGGTGTTTATTTTATTTCACCGTAAAGGTTTGTTTTTTTTGTTTATTGCCGTCACGTAGGAATAAAACGTGGCCTAGGGTCTCACGGCCTTGGGCTCTGTCGACCCCGTAAATCCCTTATTGGCGTGATACTATGTATGTATGTAGAATAGAAATAAATTTGCGGTATTGCTGCTGGTATTTATTATTTGTGGTGATGATGCTGACAAGTTAAGTTACACTTATTTATAGTTCTTTGTTTTTCTAAATATTTATTAATAATCCGAGTGTGAGTGACGCGTGCCTTATACGGCTTTTATTAAAGCCAATTATATCATAATCGACATGCACTGTTCATATAATATCAGTGATATCATGTATGGGGAAGGTGGTGAACACAAACAACTGTACAGCAAGCATGTTCTGTCGCATGAAAAAACTGCATACAACGCAACGCAAGCACCATACCTAACATTTTGTTGTAGTTTTGGGAAAGGTGTACTAACACTCTATTATAAGGCATGTAATTTATTGCATTTGTTTTTACAAGCTAAGATATGTCGTTTTGCTTATTCAAGCGTTAGTCGTTTTTTTTGGACCGGCTTTATCTTTCTTTTTTTTTATCCCACGCCACTGATATATAGATATAATAAAGGAAAATGGTATTCTACAAATATAAAAAAGTTACACAAATGTATGAAATCTACTTGCTTACTGTATAACTTATAAGGTAATTACGTCGTATTAGCGTCGGTTCAACGCCCTCTCTATAATATATATTTATTTATATATACAATTTTTAAATGCCTACGTCAATTTTATTATTAACGGAAATCGCATATTCGGATGCAAGTTTACCTAAGTTTAATTCTAATATGGAAAGCACTTTTATATGTTAAAAACGTTTCTGATACATGATCGAACATTGTCCTATAGAATAGAAAACATAATCTAGCAAAATAAGGTCAGAATATGATAAGTACATATTTTTGATAAATATTAAGCATTCCGGCGTCGTCCTAATTAACAACGATCGTGCGATGGCGCGATGCGATCTCATCGTGCGATGAAAATAATGTAACTGTGCTCGTGTGGCGACTTACGAGCTGTATTAGGTCACCTCTCAAGAAATCTATGTTTGAAAATCATCGCACGACATGAACGCATCGTGTGATCGTTCATTGCCAATTAGGACGACGCCTCAAGGTACCTTGACAAGTAAATTTTACTAGTAAAAATTCCACGCGATATAGGCAGCAGACGGGACTCGATCCCGCACCCTTCGCTATACGGGCGAATGCACTGACCATTATGCTACCGCGGCCCTGTTGGCCGTGTCGAATTTTCTCTAGCATTTTTTAGGCTGCTAGACAGCGCTATCTCTTCGCATTCTAGGAATTAATGGATTTTTCACTAGTAAAATTTTCTTAAGAATTAATCATCTAGCAGTTAAATGCTTAAAAAATTTAAATATAACTTGGTAATTTTATAAAACATATTGACCAAATGCCATTCTCTAACGTGTAAATTGTAATGGCAAGTGTGATTAAAGTTGTGATTTAAGCCGCTTTCATATTTTCTTAGAAAAATGTCATCACGTAAATATGCATACGGATATCCGATCCCAACTATTACCTTACGATACTAGTACGAAAATAGGTGCACTATACAAAGTATGATACTCTCCATTACCATTACGTGGCGCATATCTGCGCAGAAATGTCCATTGCCATTTATAATAAACATTGAAACTTCTTGTTTAAATCTTGTACTTTGGCCCAATATGCTACCTCCAGTTAGAGATCATTATAGAAACATACTAAGTTTACCCCATATATCTCTTGGGGGTTGGCTGAATGAATATAAAGGAATAAGCAAGCCATTAAACCCAACGGCACCACATTTACCCATTGTTTAGATCTTATTTAATATATTAATTAGAAACTGATTCCTGGCCTATCGTACGATAACAAATTTTAAAGTTACATTATTGGTCTGTGTACGGAATAATTAGCAGTAATTAATTATTAGCTGAGGCATACTATTTTTGCTTTCGGTCCGTCCAGTCCAACATGGTGAGACAAATTGTCAAAAATATCTTGGCAACTACCTCTAGTAGGTACCTTTTACGGGGATACGTTATTGGGTAGGTTATCTTAACCAGGTCCTGAAATCTGTTATACTTTAGTCACAGAATAACACAGAAGCGAAACTCTACAGAAACAGCAGACGCACACCGGATTTTCGACCTTAAAATCAACAATCAACGGCATTCTACTGAGATTACCCGAGATTCCCATCCGTGTGTGCAATTTTATGTGCAAGAGGCCGTTTCGTCAGTTATTGGGAACTGTTACAATGTCTAAGTTTCAGTCAAAATGTGTATACGAAATGCCTCATCCGAATGCAATAAGAATAGTCGACACGCGAAAGAATAAAATATTTACCCACGCGATTGTGCCGTACAACCTAACTTTCATGTTGACACTTGACACATTGCATCATAACTGACCAAGATTACGCAAAACATAAGGTTCAATATTTTAAAGCAAATGATATTTATGGCCAGGTCATTTCTGCAGAAAACTATGCGTGCTCTATAATAATAGATTTTGAACGTAAACATATCGAAGCATCTTATATAGAAATTTTTATTATTAATTAACAATAAAATTCAAAGGTACAGGTACACTCATTATAGAATAGTGTGCAAGGTACAGTTGGCAACGGGTGACACGAGCCACTGTAACAACAGACTGTGCTTTTACGTCGCCAACTGTACACATAACTTCCATTAATATTTGAAACAGTTTTAAAATATATATATTGTAATTTTCAACTCGCTTCTAGTACAGACTAATACTTGCAACACTGTTCTATAACAAGTTCAGAAATATTAACACAGCAATAGGTTCGGTACTACATCCATGGAGAGGGAAAGTTAAATTGAAACAAATAACAAACTATACACGTCTCCAGCGTAGAACGGAGCGTCGGACGAACGCGAGTGTAGCTTAACCACTGCGATGTTGCGTTCCGTTATTCACTGAGAATACTTACACATGAATATCGACTCACTAACAACTCGCTGAACAGCGGAACGCAAATGTTACTTTATCACAGAAAAATAATAGTTATAAAAGAAATGGAAAGGTGTCGTACATGACAGCATGACCAATTCTTTTTTCATTTTAAATTCTCAATAAAAATAAAACGCAAAATCCTAACAAACATATCTAAAACTAAGTATTTATGGTAACGAAAATATCACTACAACATATCGAATTCTAGCTTTAAATTTCTCAAAGTGTCGTAAAGAATCAGGTGGTTATTACAAAACAGTTTTTGACATAAATAATAATAAGATATGGCGAATGGACATAATATGTGACAAAACGTTTAGAAATTTTTCATCAATACAGTATTGATAGTATTTTTTTGTATATTCTTTAATAAGTATTACAAAGAACTGTAAAATATAAGAGAAAACCTAAAAGATCAGTTTCTAGTGATTTCCAAAAAAAAATATGTGACCTTAATATGTCTTCTCAGCGAGAAAAAAAGGCGTAGCGCATATAAATTACTATACTATTTACATACAAATCACTTAAAAACTTTTTCAGGTTAATTTCATAAAGTTTCGCCACATAGTACATAACTCAGTAGGGCATTATGATCAAAATGTACAAATGGTAGGTACTCAGTTCAATTTTGCCGATTTCAATGGGTCGCGTAAAAAAAGATTGAGAAAGGATGACCTACCGAAGTAAATGCTGCTTCTGATATAGTTTTTTTCTATAGAATAAGAGGTAGGGTAGGAAGCTTACTATAACTACCATCAAATAAAAACGATTCACCTCGCTTTACAATTATCGATATTTCATAACATTTTCGTAATCATCCAAATGGCTAAGATGACACTACCACGCCTAATGAAACTGTGGAGAATTTCCACGAGGAATATACAGGTGCACCCTACTACATCATGAAAGCAGACCCGCTATATAATATACAATGCTTATGTTTAAGATACCTAAGTAACTTATATTATACACTTTAGAGATCAGAGAATATAATCTAAAGATATGTGTGATGTATTGTATATTATTGTAATTTTTTCTGTGATGCAGTCCACCGCTTGTCAAAGTTTTCGGGATAGCTCAAAGTATCACGCAACGTTCGTTTTAACAGTTATACGATTTTCGATTTCACGCAAATCACATTTGTACAACATACCTTAAGCTGAAGAGTGTACACAAATTAACTTTTAACTATGGATATTGTAAAGCGAGGTTAACCCAACAACATGCTCTGGTGCTGTGCTCGTGAATTTTGATCGAGTGAAACTGTGCTCGTTACATCGAGTATAATGGCGTAATAACCTTAATCGGCGTGCGCCGCGAACGATCGAGAATTGATTCTCGTTTATAAATTGCGAATTTGATTCAAATTCAATTACGAATACCAAAAATATATCCACACATCACAGTCATTGTCAGCCAAACTCTCAATTTTGGTGCACATTATACATAAGGTTTAGTCTCTCTAAGTAGAAGTAAGCCGCTCTTTGTAAAACGACTTGCGAGCGTTCAACCTAAGTCGAACGCCTCCAAAACGACTCTTAGCACAACACTAATCGAGGGAACCACTCAGAAACAAACAACTGAATTTTTCACGTTCAAGTTTTTTTTGTTATATGGCTTCGCACGGTTTGTGCATTTTAGCCTATTACATAACGTTCATGTTTACAATAATCAAAATTTGTCATAACACAAAAGAAGGTTGTCGCTTTTGAATTTCGAAATGATTTTAGGAACAGAAAGTTCAGGAAAAACTTTGCACTCGCGTCGTGTCGCGCCAGGGCTGTCTGCTAACGTACCAGTGTTACAGTTGCCTACAGTTTGATGTAGTCGGGAGTGCCGATGTTGGCGAGCGTCTTCTTGATGCGCAGCGCGGTGAGTCGGGCCGCGGGGTTCTGGTACCAACACTCCTTCATCACCTTCGATATCGCGGAGAGCACCTACAGGATCACGACGGATTTTTTTATCAGAACAAACTGTAGAATATTATCACGTGTCTGACAATTTGTGGCACATTGTTGTTTTTAATATTCTTCAATATACCAAAACAAATGTAATAAATTAGTTTTGAAAAGTTATTTTGGTATTAAAATGTTTGATTATGTTATTTTAATTTTTAGTGTACAGATTAAATCGCATGGGATATTTTTGCCTCAAGATTACGTTATACAACAAATCAAAGAAATGACAAATAAAACAACTGAAGCTCGTGTTGTTTCGCCAAATGTAACGTTTGGATTAGACAAGCAGCTGATCGTATACTATTTGCATTTCTCCAGGTATCTATCGGGTACTGGAATACAAGTTTTAGTGCCAGTGGCAAGTGTGACGTCACTCACCGGGTGGGCAGCACGGGGCGGCGGCACTCGACGCATAGCACGCGGCGCATGTCCTCGAGCGCGGGGTCGGGCGGGCTGCACTCATCGATGGGGAGGTACACTCACTCACCGGGTCAGCGCTCCAACGGTTGGGCAGCACGGGGCGGCGGCGCTCGACGTACAGCACGCGGCGCATGTCCTCGAGCGCGGGGTCGGGCGACCCGCCCTCGTCGATGGGGAGGTATACTCACTCACCGGATCAGCGCTCCAACGGTTGGGCAGCACGGGGCGGCGGCACTCGACGCACATCACGCGGCGCATGTCCTCGAGCGCGGGGTCGGGCGACCCGCCCTCGTCGATGGGGAGGTATACTCACTCACCGGGTCAGCGCTCCAACGGTTGGGCAGCACGGGGCGGCGGCGCTTGACGTACAGCACGCGGCGCATGTCCTCGAGCGCGGGGTCGGGCGACCCGCCCTCGTCGATGGGGAGGTATACTCACTCACCGTGTCAGCGCTCCAACGGTTGGGCAGCACGGGGCGGCAGCACTCGACGCACAGCACGCGGCGCATGTCCTCGAGCGCGGGGTCGGGCGACCCGCCCTCGTCGATGGGGAGGTATACTCACTCACCGGGTCAGCGCTCCAACGGTTGGGCAGCACGGGGCGGCGGCGCTCGACGTACAGCACGCGCCGCATGTCCTGGAGCGCGGGGTCGGGCGACCCGCCCTCGTCGATAGGGAGGTATAACTCACTCATCGGGTCAGCGCTCTAACGGTTGGGCAGCACGCGGCGCATGTCTTCGAGCGCGGGGTCGGGCGGGCCGCACTCGTCGATGGGGAGGTACAATCACTCACCGGGTCAGCGCTCCAACGGTTGGGCAGCACGGGGCGGCGGCGCTCGACGCACAGCACGCGGCGCATGTCCTCGAGCGCGGGGTCGGGCGGCACGCACTCATCAATGGGGAGGTATAATCACTCACCGGGTCAGCGCTCCAACGGTTGGGCAGCACGGGGCGGCGGCGCTCGACGTACAGCACGCGGCGCATGTCCTCGAGCGCGGGGTCGGGCGACCCGCCCTCGTCGATGGGGAGGTATACTCACTCACCGGGTCAGCGCTCCAACGGTTGGGCAGCACGGGGCGGCGGCGCTCGACGTACAGCACGCGGCGCATGTCTTCGAGCGCGGGGTCCGGTGGGCCGCACTCGTCGATGGGGAGGTATAACTCACTCATCGGGTCAGCGCTCTAACGGTTGGGCAGCACGCGGCGCATGTCTTCGAGCGCGGGGTCGGGCGGGCCGCACTCGTCGATGGGGAGGTACAATCACTCACCGGGTCAGCGCTCCAACGGTTGGGCAGCACGGGGCGGCGGCGCTCGACGCACAGCACGCGGCGCATGTCCTCGAGCGCGGGGTCGGGCGGCACGCACTCATCAATGGGGAGGTATAATCACTCACCGGGTCAGCGCTCCAACGGTTGGGCAGCACGGGGCGGCGGCGCTCGACGTACAGCACGCGGCGCATGTCCTCGAGCGCGGGGTCGGGCGACCCGCCCTCGTCGATGGGGAGGTATACTCACTCACCGGGTCAGCGCTCCAACGGTTGGGCAGCACGGGGCGGCGGCGCTCGACGTACAGCACGCGGCGCATGTCTTCGAGCGCGGGGTCCGGTGGGCCGCACTCGTCGATGGGGTGGTATAACTCACTCATCGGGTCAGCGCTCTAACGGTTGGGCAGCACGCGGCGCATGTCTTCGAGCGCGGGGTCGGGCGGGCCGCACTCGTCGATGGGGAGGTACAATCACTCACCGGGTCAGCGCTCCAACGGTTGGGCAGCACGGGGCGGCGGCGCTCGACGCACAGCACGCGGCGCATGTCCTCGAGCGCGGGGTCGGGTGGCACGCACTCGTAGTACGGCGGCTGGTACTCGTCCGGCAGAGCGCCGCACCGCCGCGCCATCTCCCACAATACCAATCCCAGGGAGTAAACGTCGGAACGCTTGTAAGGGTCGAACTGGCGCGTGTCCATGCTTTCGTCTAACACCTGATACGGAATAGAGTTCCATTTACATTTTTATGGAAAACTGCAGATATTATTCTAAATCATAATAAATAGGCTTCCTGTGGATGTTAGGTCTAGACGTAGCGTAGAATTCATTACGTAAATTCCATACCTATTTTTTTGAAGTTTGCTTTAGATAAATAGTCAGGAGTAAAGGAAGTAATATTAGTACTAATGTGGAATATTATCTCAATCATATGGTTGGTGTTTTTATTCATGAAGCTGATATCTTTTTTTTTTGACAAATGAATAGTTTTGTATATTTGGCAATTATATTTTCTATTTCAAAACTATTGTAAGTTATTTAGTCTAACAAAAAGAAGAACTGCTAAAACCTTAGGTACCGACAGCATGAAAAACCTCATTTGACTTGCTACTAACGAAATGATCCTGAATATTTTACTCAGTAATTTGACAATGGATGGGATAATCATGTATTAATTCATTCCTGACCTCATATGAAATAGAACGTGTATCATAACAGTGTACAAGTGTAAACACAGAGTCTAAGTAAGTAAGATTCATTTTACAACAGAAACGACTCCTAGAGTTCAGAGGAAAAAAATGTCACACCAAGGAGACTGCAGTTATACAACGAATCGTTCTGTTTAGAAATTCAAATGGTGTGTTAAATTCTATTCAATCATCCATCACCATAGAATGAGATTCATATAGCCTTCAACTGAGCTTATGTTTTATATTATACAAATACCTACGCAATTCTTAGGGGAATATTAAGATTCTTTACAAAAATAGTGCTTTAGTGTTTTTGTAGAGTATTTATTCAATGGCAATCCAGGTTTAGATTAAAGGGTATTTTTATAGATATCTTTTAAGAAATAGCTGATGCAGTAGAAAATTTGCCGACAGAAACAAAACGATATTACACTCATATAAAAGTTAAATATCAGTTACTATCAGGCGTAATTATACCTAAACATGATCCCAAATCCCTACCCCTTGGAGCTCTGGAAACATAAGACGCGGAATACAAAAAAAATATGTAAGTAGGCGCCGGGGCGCCAAGGGCAGTTCCAGGGGGGTGTCCCGTTTGCATCTTCTGTCTTTTCTGTGTGTACCGTGCCTAAGTCTCTGATAAAAAAATAATAGTGCCAAACGATGCTTATTTGCTTATTCCTCTGTGGTCGTCTTTAAGATGGTGGGTTATTATATTAGTAAGCCAAAATTAGATAATACATGTCTAACGGATAGCGGCCATGACGCTTCTTCATTTGGTATGAAACTTCCGCGTCCCGTCTGCGTCTTCTGTCTTTTCTGTGTGTACCGTGCCTAAGTCCCTGATAGAAAAACAAGACTGCCAAAAGATGCCTGTTCCTCTGTGGTCGTCTTTTAGAGGGTGGGTTATTATATTACTTAGCCAAAATTAGATAATACAAGTCTATGCTATAACTGATTTTAAATTTTTATTTACCATGTATGATTGCAAAATAAAGATTAGTATTAATATAACAAACAACGATCTAAATTTAAATTTAGTTACCGCAAGTAATATATGCATATACTGTATGTGCATGATCCATCTTAGACTCTTTTCTTGCTATCAGGTGAAATCAATTAATCAATCAAAAGTGTGGCGCAACGTATTCTGAATTCAAACAATAACAAGTGTATCTTTTCGCGTAGTAAATAAAGTTATGTTTTGAGGTGCTCTATTAAAGTTGCGTCGCGTTTCGGTGTGAGCTAAGGTTAAGTACACAACTACATTATATAAAGCTACGAAACAGTTGACGGTTGTGAAGGAAAAATCTTACATGTTTTTGTCTCCTAGCAACCAGCCGTAAAGAAAAGGAATTTCGAACCAATAAATAGGAAAAGAAAAATTAAAGTTTTACCTCTGGTGCCATATATCGCTTGGTGCCGACTCGATTTGTGGAAGGGACATCCACCGAGTCACTGGCCACGTTGTGTCTGACTGCGAGACCCAGGTCCCCTATGACGCATGTCAGGTTACTCTTCACCAGTATGTTCTTGGATTTAAGATCGCGATGAGCTATCGCAGGCTTGCCTAGTGGGATAAGTATTTATTTATTTTTTGGAAGACCAACAGCTATTAATAAAAATAATAAAAACTTAAATAATAACAATGAGCCAATTACAGGTAGAAGATTCGATCCCGGTCGATTTTTCTAATCCCGGGATTTCGGGATATCTACAGTTAATCCCGAGATAGTCCCGGGATTTCGGAATATCTACAGTTAATCCCGAGATAGTCCCGGGATTGTATCGGTGATAGAAAGTGGTAACAAAAAGACAGTAAAACATATCAAAATCAACTTTTATTTTAAATCTTTAAAAAACATAACAAAATTATACTTTCTTTTGATAGAATAAACAAACTAGGCACATCACTACACACTAATTAATTTATGAATGAAAAAAAAAATGAAATAGTTTCATACATTATTTACAGAATTGCCTAGTTTGTTTATTTTATTTTAGAACAAACTTAAAAAAAAAACAACGTCTTATGACTTGTTTAGAGAAAAAGACTATAGGTGGTCCTTCATTATTTTGGCCCGTTGAGGAAGATACCTTAGCAGAATCTACTTTCACGGAATGTTTTGAAGATAGATCTGTATGTAGGCATTTTGTTGATCCTCCTAAGGTTTTTAAAATATTTAAGCAACGCTTATATTGTGCTGAGCTATCCGCTTTATCGACTAAAAATGACTACACACTGACGTAACACCTTCATATTTTTTATGCTTGATATCAAAATTTTCTTTGGATAATGATATTGTTTACTTCTTAAACCTATACAAAAACGAAAAGAACATTTAAATCTATGCACAACATAAACATAACCTCTTAGAAGTATAGGAAATAACACTCGTTGTTTGCCATCTATATTTACTCAGACACATTAATGCATTGGTTGTTTTTTTAAAAATTCATTGATTATCACCAATTACAAAAAAAATATTAATACTTACACGACGTGAAGCGTAATTTTTACACACTTTCATAATCCGGTACCGGTCGTTAGCAAAAACAAATGAAATCAGCTGTGTAAATAAGATGGCCGTTAAAACGTCAAATGAAAGTAAGCGCGTTTCGTTTCACGCACATTTTTATTGACTTATAAAAAATATATCTAACCCGAAAATCCCGGGATTCATTGCATTTAATCCCGAAAATTTCGGGATTAAAATATGACCGGGATCCCGGGATCGAATCCTTTAATAACAGGTCTTCACCAATAAAAACACATAACAACAGAATTAAGCACACTTTTAACCACGGACCTAAAAAAAAGACGGACGTAACATCAAAGGCAAATCATGTGAAGCATGCAAGGTCAGACAAAATCGTTTGTTGTACACTACCTACACTCACACTAATGCACCAGGCAGGTCGGACAAACCGCTGCCATTTTACCCCGCGTGACAGCGGCAGTCACACATTCAATTGCTCTGATAAAAATAATTAAAAATGCCGTCTTGCGTGGTGAAATCCTGTAAAAACTACACGAATAAATTTAAAAAGTCACAAGGAATTACCTACCATGCGTAAGTATTGACAATTCTTGATATTCATTCCATATTATATTTTATTTACTGGGATGAAAATCGTAAACTAAAATACAACTGTATTAAATACTTTATTTACTGGAAATTTTCCCTAAAAGTAGGGAATTTTGTATTTCTTGCATTTGTGACTCGGTAAGGTCAGATTTCGTAACTTTTTTAGGGTTCCGTATCCCAAAAGGAAAAGAATAGAAGCTATATTATTCATAGAATATTTTATATGTTTTATAGAATGGTATGTTCTCGCTGTGAATTCTTTGTTGTTTATATATGTAAATATGTAGCAAACTTTTTTGTGTTTAGCAACTGATTGTAACTAATTATTTCTTTGTGTTTTTTTATTGTTTGGTTTTAGTTTTGGTTTTTGTAAGTTCTAGTTTGTCATAGATAAATCTTACTTCATTTTTATTAATTTTTTTAATAAATTCATTTCTCTTGTTTTAAGATACTAAAAGCATTCAGCCTATGTTGTTATTTATTTTTGTCATGCTGATTGGTATGGTTCTAATCTTCTGTTTTATTATTAAATTAAAAATGTCTCGTCAACCCTGCCAGAATTATCAGCGCTGCAGCAGCCCTGGTGTTGCTGTAGTATTAAGGTGAGGCAAGGACCTAATATTAATTTCCCAGTAAAGGGTGTGCTTAAAGACGTATCGTATAATGAAGCTTAAATCTGGTCACGAGTGTTTGACCTTTAATGTAATGAATATGCTTATTGTCTCTATTGTAATAAGAAATAGCCGGTTGTCCCCTTATTTAGTTAACTTTGCTGTTCTATCTGAGGCCGGCAGATGTAAGTACTATAATAATTCTGTAACATCCTATAGAACCAGTGTTTTTAAAGAACTGAAATAAATAATCAAATCTGTTAAGGCCCGTTTACATTTTTCCAGTCTTTAGGCGAGTGCTTTGCTTAAGTACCAAACGTGTAAACACTACTCGATTTGGTTGGATCATTCCCACATATACTCGAGTCGAATTCAAATTCAATATCGTTAATTCAATTGAGACTGTTACAAGCACTTTTGATTGAAAGTCGAATAACTAAGGTTAAATAAAACTAATAAAGAGTACTATAGAACTTTCGCACTGCCTAAAGACTTGAAAGATGTAAGCCAACTATTTACCTTTAGTGCCAACGATATCCATGTGCAAGTGCGCCAGCCCCGTGGCAATAGACAGCGCCATCTTGACAAGAGTATTTGAGTCTATGGTCCGCGCGGTCAAGAAGTCGAACAGCGAGCCGTTCTCGTGGTAGTCTGTGATCAGCCACAGCTGTGTCCACGTGCCGTTGTCTGCGAGAATAACACGACACGATAAAGTATTGTTTTGAATGTAAAAGAGATAGAAATCAAACAAATGGTCCGACAGTAAAAGACCACAATAGTCTATAAACTATTCACTCGAGCGTTGCCCATCCTAACCCCAGTCCTAAACTTTAAACTTACTCACTGACAGAAATGCGCCACCACCAAAGGGTAATGTTATAATGGCACTGGCTTTCCTTATGGAAAGCCAGCAGTGGGGACATTATAAGGCTATCAATGATGATGAGTCACTTTTGTTGTCAGGGGCGATGAAGCCCAATATGTTTTCGTGTACGTCGGCCTCCCTGAACCAGAAGCACTCCTCGAGTGTCGACAATATCTGACGGTTACGACCTTGCTGAATGACTGGCGGCCCAGAATTGGGGACATTGACAGGTTAACGATGATGACCTTTGTTGTCAGCGGCGATGAACCCCAATATGTTTTCGTGTCGCAGCATGACCGTCTGGTAAATCTCCGCCTCCCTGAACCAGGAGCATTCCTCGCGCGAGGAGAAAATCTTGACTGCTACGTTTTCGCCGCGCCACCGGCCTCGCCACACCTCGCCGAACCGCCCCTTGCCGATGATGTCCACCAGCTGGATCTGACGTGCGATCGACCGCTGGACTAACAGTGGCAGGCCTGCAGAAGGCAGTTGGTGTTAGGATGTTATACTTTTTTATAACCTATCTAAAGATATGAGAGTAGGTCACATGTGAATAATCGACATAGAGAATGGACAGAGCGACATTAGCACGGAATAGAGAACTCTTGAAGATAATAAACAGCCAATACATAAACGGAATATGGACACTTCGTGTCTTACACCTTTCTGTACTGTTTTATTTTACGTTGGTTAGGGAACGCGCTGACCATTCTCTCTGTACTTACTATGTCTCTTTTTTTCAAATCTTAAAACAAGATATTTTATGGAGCATCCAATGAAATTATTACAAATTATAGGTTCAATTATTCAAATAACAATTTTTGTGGCCATTCATAAAAATTCGAAAATGTACAATAGCATCCGATATAACTGTGTAGTGTGTTGTATGGTATTGTTTATAATAGATCTTTTCAAAAGTTTTCAGAGCAAAATTAAAAAACAGGTAGGTAATCCTTAGTGGGAATTAGGAGAGCTTTATCAACATTCTTTAGATCTGATTAAACTCTGCGGCGCCTATAATTGAGAGACAAAGTTTTATTTACATTTGCATTCATAAAGTTTAAAACGGACTATATATAAAGAGCGTTTAGGATACTCACCGGACCCCGAGCCGGAGGTAGTCAGCTCGATCATATCGCGGATAGTGGCCGTGCCCATGATGGGGTGGCGAGTCTCGCACAGCGAGTCCTCGGCGGGGAAGAGTGGGCGGGAGCCTCGCTTCATCATCATCTTGGAGCGGCGCTTGGCCCACCAGAAGCTGATCACCACGCACACGCCGAGCACCATCAGCCCTATCACCCATGGCACCACTTGCCACACGGTCGCTGATGGACTGGACTCTTTTCACGGTAGTGCAAGTTATATTATGGATAGGTACGACAACAAAGTTCTTGAAATAAAAATCTGCTAATAAAAATTCAAAATAGAAGACGTGCCTGATCATTATGATGGTGGAAAAGAAAGAATGTAAAACTAAAGACGAAACGTTAGAAACGAGAATAAAATTACAATAACAAACTACTTTTTCACAAGGGCATTCTTTCTTGTATAACTTTATGTGACATTGAATTTTCGGTGTTTGAATTAAATAATAATGAATCATTATTTGCTTTTGCAACTTGTTAATAATAAAAGGTAATTAATTTCTCATCATCTTATCATCATCTTCATTTCTCATGATCTTCATCAGTAATAGGTACTCTGTCTCTCTCCCTTTTAAATAAGAGATATTTCCAAGTAACACATTATAGTTGTAAAACGGCCGACTCACATCATTTCTCATCGTATTAGCATTTTGAACTAGTTCTTTAATAGCATGAGAAACGTTTTTACGGCACTGTAATGCTTATTTGGGCACAAATTATACTTTTAATAAGAAGCTTCAGAATCTAAATAGGTTCACAATAGTTGTTTTTACGCATTATATTAGCATTATTGCAACCAATAATCGCATTACAGAAGCATTATACTGCCAATATTATTAATAATAAATAATATGTTAATTGCATTACTAAACCATTAGAAAGATTAGACTAGCACTAGAAAGTAGTAAAAGAATGATGAAAAAACCTTACATCATTGCAAAAACATCTCTAATATCACGGTACAAATGTTATAACATAATTAACGTTGTTATGTTACTACTTTGTCTCGATATAATATATGGACGAGGATGGTCGATTATGTCAATTTATTTAGTAATTCCCTAACATATTATCTACCAAATGTATTAATCTTATTGCCACACATGCGCTTGTGCTTGGCTTGTGTTTGCTTGGATACTAGAGTAACGGATAGAATACACCTTTCGAATCGGCCACACCATGAAACCCGGCGTATAAACCCCTCGGTCTCGGAAGTAGTCAAAATTAACATCATAGTATTGCATTATTAAATTAAGTTCTATCATTATAATAAAGGTCTATTGCTTTTATAAATGGGTCCGAATGATAATATTTTTAGGTTATAAAATATTAACATAATAGTGTCGGTATACACGGCGTCCCACGGCTACCTCACACGGAGGGAAAGTATATTAAATATTGAAGGATATTTTACTAAAAGGTGACATCATTTTATTTTTAATAATAACTAGAACTGCATTCATAGATTTATTAAAAATCGCCTGCTACAACTGGGAATCAAACTCGTGAAATTTCGACAAAAAAAAAAAGACATATTTTATGATAACCATCGAAAGGATTAATCATAAGGATTATGTTTTGTTTAATAACATAGCATTTTAAATAAAAGAAAAGTAATTAAATCTAACATTTTATTTAAAATTGTTTAACACAAACTAAAATAAAATCGGATACGCCTCAAAGTAAGTTAAAATGTTGAGTTCATCATCGTTGACGTTTATCATCCGCTGCTGTGGTTTCTGTAAGCGCATATCAAAACGTCCTAAATTTCTTAAAGAATCCACTAACATTTTAAACATATATCGAGAAGGTAAGTCTCTATCAGGATATCTTTCGCGGTACCACCGAAAAGCTATTATATCTTTGTGGTTCATAAAGTAAGCTTCCATAAAATCCATTTTATTTTGATATGCCATGGTAAGTAAATTAACAAATAATTGCAAATAAACGAAAATGAAACTCACAAAAGTATACAGTTGAACACAAAACCTCCTCTTTTTTTGAAGTCGGTTAAAAAATCAAAGAAAAGACACTTGGAAATTTATGTGTTCCATTTTCGAATTATTATTTTTATAAATTTCAGCCAATCACATTGTAACTGTGAATTCAAAAAGAAAATGAAATGCAAACGTGCTACAGTTTGTATATCAATTTATTATTTTTATCACGTAATAAGAAATTCTACTCATTTAAAATGCTATGTTATTTAGCAAAAAATAATCCTTATGATTAAAACCCTTTCGATGGTTATCATAAATATGTTTTTTTTTTCAAAATTTCACGAGTTTGATTCCCAGTTGCAGGCGATTTTTAAAAAATCTGTGAATGCAGTTCTAGTTATTATTGAAAATAAAACGATGTTTTCTTTCAGTAAAATATCCTATCTTCAATATTTAATATACTTTCCCTCTGCGTGAGGTTACCGTGGGACGCCCTGTATAGCAGCCCGATAAACCTTAAAAAGGGCTAATTAATACGACAGTAGATAAACGAACCCGTGAACAATTATTAACCTGTGGCATTACAATAACTCACGTGTATTTGATTAAGAGCTGTTAGATTTACAGCAGTACTTAGTTGATCTTAAAAAATGCTAGAATTCAAAGTAATTAAAACATTACATTGATCAATCTATGTTAGTCACAATTGTCACTTAAAAAATATGTTAGTCAACGTCACGCATAGAAATACTTCTTTAAATTAATTAATACAATTAACAATGAAGGTTATATATTAGTGGTCCTAAGTGTCATTATTCACTGTGCCTGAACATTCTGTGTTTCAAGCAAAATAGGCTTAATCTTAAAATACACTCCCGGACTCTTGAATCGAGCCACCTTACATTCCCGGGCCTAAAAGCCCAATACACAAAAAATATACAATATAACAAAAAAGTGTTTATGCATTTTTAATGCTGGCATATTTCATCGTCTTTCCCGTATGTATTATTGCAAATTTGAATTTTAGAATTTAAAATAAAGAACAAAAGCCGAGCTTGGTCACTGATTTGAAAAAAATAATGACTGTTGAAAGTTGCTTTTCAAGCAATTTAATGTCGATTTGGTTTGAATTTTCGCAATTGTTGTAAACCAAAGTTTAGTTTAGTTATTTTTCTATAATTTGAACCGTTTTTGGCTATAAAATTATGGATACTTCACCTGAAGTAGCCGCGTAAGCTGTAGCACTTCTTCAATCTGGGCTAAGTCAGCGAGATGTGAGTTCACAACTTCACATAAGTCGTTCCGCTGTTCAAAGAGCGTACCACCGATACCTGGAGTCTGGCGGCTTCGTTCGGCGAACAGGAGGACCTCGTTACCGAGTGACAACGGCGAGACAAGATCAATACATTGTCACTACTAGCTTACGAAATCGACGCCTTAACTCTGTTCAGATACAAGAACTGCTCAGGGACTTTCACGGAGTGGCTGTAAGTGCTCGGACCGTTAGAAGGCGACTCAATGAACGTGGTTAATAGCCCCATAAGCCAGCCAATGGACCCAAATTGACACGAGCACACCGAATAGCCCGTCTAGAGTTTGCGCGCAAACATCTAAATTGGACTCGACATCAATGGAGCCAGGTTCTCTTCACAGATGAGTCCAAGATAATGCTATACGGTAATGACGGAAGGAGTAAGGTGTACCGAAGACAGAACGAGCGTTTCGCGCAATGCTGTATTGACGAGAAAGTGAGTTATGGTGGAGGATCATGGACAGTCTGGGGAGGAATCTCTATGGAAGGCAAAACTGAGCTAGAGGTAGTGACGGGACCACGACTGCCGCCCCTAGATGGCAATAGATACATTCGCCAATGTTTAGAGAACCACGTGATGCCAGATGCTGGATTTATTGGCCAAGATTTCGTTTTAATGCATGGTAATGCAAGGGCCCATACTGCGGGAATCGTCAGGGAGTACTTAAATGACATTGGTATCACTGTTATGAGATGGCCAGCGCGAAGTCATGATGTGGAACTCACATCCTATAGAGCATCTATGGGATGAGCTGAAGAGGCGTGTTCGAGCTCATCATCCTGCCCCGCAAACCATGCAGGAGCTCAAAAATGTAATTTTGGAAGAATGGGAGGACATTCCTCAACATGTCATAACGACATTGATTAATTCTATGCCAAACCGTATGAGAGCTGTCATAAATGCACTGGGAGGCAATACAAGTTACTAAATAAACATTTCTTTTCATGTAAAACATGTCTTTATTTAAAAATCGATTAGAATTTTTTCCTTGAATAAAGCAAATATGGACTTGTTTCAACGTAACTCGACTTTTTTAATAAACTGTAGTTAAAATTTAGAACAGTGGCACTCTAAATGAATGATGAGTATACCAGCTCCAAAACTGCATCAAAACATTTTCTTTCTACATACATCTTTTATAAGTTACAGTACTCCAAACCAAAAAAATCAAGGTGGTTCGATTTAGGTGTCCGGGAGTGTATTAAATAATCACTACGTAGATAATTTACAACATCAAATCATTACATATTCAAATCTACCCAAGATAAATATAATCAAGAAAATACAAAAAATATTTTATTATTTTAAAATTGCAATTAATAACTTTCTCGCTCTTAGGGCTAGCGCATATATACAACTTTTGCATCGACTAAACTGTTTTGTAGCTCTCGTGATTTCCACACAACTAAACCGTTTGGTTGATGGAGGTACGACTACGCATACAATCGATGCAGTCGATCATCGATTTTTTTTATCTCCTCAATTCGATCACTCTTTATTTAGCAACGCTCGAGTCAGGATGTTACATACAATGTCAATTAACATGAAAGTTCTAATTTGTACTTTGCTTTATAGAAAATTCAAAAGAGAAAAAAAAATGTGTATGTAAGAAATCTTATAGGTGGTGTATATGTCCGCCAGTACTTCACGTCTTATTTTATTTCTCCTCAAGGCTCTGTACCAAAGCAATACGACATGGTATAAAATCTTTGTTTAATAAATAAAATCATACAACTAACATAACTTTTATTTAATTATTTATTAACATACTAGTGGCCGCCCGCGACTTCGTACGCGTTTAATTTAGTTTTTTGGTTATCCCTCTCGAACCTAAATTTTTCCTAAATAAAAAGTATCCTCCGAATCCGATCAGTAGCTTTTGCATAAAAGAATAAAAAACATCCACACATCCATACAAACTTTCGCATTTATAATATTAATA